GAAAGGCTGTTAATATTGGAAAATTTTATTTGTCAATACACGGGAAAACAACCCTACGTGTCACTCACACTCGCGATCGATGTCGACAGGATCGCGCGCGTCGCGATATTTCCACCGTAAACATCGGGCGACGTTATTATTTTCTTCAATTATGAATCGGTTTTTCCACGACAGATCTCTCGGCAGTGAAATTATCCCGCCGCTTCCCCGACGCGTGTGCGGCGCGTATCGGGCGGAACGCACGGCGACAGTACTGAGATAGTACCGAAGGGTGAATAGTAAAGTTGTCGTCGGTAAACTATAGCTTTCTTGCATAGGTAATCAGTTTCTAAATAAAAGTCAAGTCAATAAAATGGCGATCGTGTGTATGTATTTCCTGGCGTTGACGTCTCTTCGAACTTGAATTACGACACGTAATCCTACGATTGAGGATATTACATACCGGACTTTTTTTTATGCATAATGGATGAACCGTTTTAATCAACAAAATGATAAAAAATTAACACAATCAATTATATCTCTACATTTCACAATCTCTCTTAAAAGAATCTGCGATTTTAATAGAAAGAAATTTAGATCCTTCGATTAATTATTTCAAAAAATATCTAATTTATAAAGAATACAAAAGTCACAAATTTTTTAATGTAACTCTGAATTTTATTAGAAAGTTACATTATGTTTGCATTGTTCGCTTTCAGCATGAAAACGTTTCGTTGTGAACATTGTTCATGTTCAATCGATATATTATTTCTGGATATATACTGATACTCTAAAGCTCACATCTATTTTAAGATCAACTGGTAATAGTTAACGACATATTCCACATATGATTCGTCATACATGCTCGCATTGCTGCTTTGTTAATCCAAAGTTCTCGAATATCATACATCGTGAGTTTTACACAAGTCAAATAGATCATGGTCTTTTTCTGCATGTTGCGCGCAATTGAAAATTTATTTCAGCATTTTCTTATTTTGATTTTGCTATTTAATGTATATTATTCACAATTTATAAATCTCAGATCAATAAAGATTAAACACAAGAGTATATTAAATATGTTACTTTAGTAGTCACGAACTAGTTTAACATTTTTTCTGTTTATTGTTTCTTCTGTAGTCGTAATTTTATTTCAGTTTAATGTTACACTATTAATTTAATTAATTTAATTTAATTTTATAGTAAACCAGAGCAAAATTTAAATAGGAAATTCCTCATATTGCGTAAAAGGCTCGATTGAAACTAGTTCATTCTACGTTTATTCAAGAAGATGTGAGTTATCTTAGAGCAAGAATTAATTCGGGTGCGATAATACGTAAACGAAGAGCTACGCATATTCTTAGTGGAATAGAAAGCATGTTGATATAGTTGGTTGGTTTAAATAGTCACTTGGACGATGAGTTAAATGGGTTTCCATGCGGCAGTACACCTACGGCGAATTCAATCAACTGCATGCCCGATAATTCAATCAGTGGCGCGAAGTTGACTCCCGGAAACACAATCGAGTCTCTGCGTTATCGGAAGTGAATTTCGAGTAGAACAATCGTGGCTCGCAGCTACGTAGGCTGCGAATCGATAATTCGTTGCCGAGATCCGGTGACGGTTATGCAACATCTGTTGTGTTAATTTCGCTGCAATTTATTGGATATATCTTGAGCCGCGCACGATGTGAATCAAATTAATTCAGTAATTATGCTGAAGCTCCGTAGTATGCGCGATTAGCAGATAGTCGCGGTTATTTCTTCGTCACACTTTCCAAGTAATGATGATTTCATTACTTTCTTTCCACGTTGCACAGTCTAAGAAATTATCTGCAATCTGTTTTTTGGCGGCTAAAAAGTCTTGCAAATTGCATATCACAAATTTTCGTAAACTTTCGCTTTATTAATTTCTAAATAGTTGTTTAAGTCATCTAAAAATGCCAAAGATCTAAAATAACAGATAAAAATCACGCAGAATTCTGATTCGCTCCGTTTTCGCTCCGCACTTAGCGCTGCGGAATCGAAGAATCTCAAAATCGTATTACAAAGAAAACGAATGTTCTCGAATGAAGACGCAAGCTTCTCTGCAAAGCGGAATGAGGCCTATTGTGGATTCTCGTTTACCAAAACTATCAATTGATGTCGGGGTACAAGCAGGGTAGCGCGCGGTATAACACACACTCGCAGCTGCACCCTCGAACACCGAAATCCAAACAGAGCGTATATATCTCCTCGTCCGTCCATCTGTCGTTGTGTAACGGAACACCGGCTAATAGTATTAGAAATATATATATCTCGGACTAAACTACCCCTGTCAAACCACTCGATCGAGAACCACCCTCCTGCTTCTGGCTTTCCCGCTCTTCTACAGATCGCTACGGTCGCTACGGATTACGTCGGTAAACGTCGGGGTTCGCCGAACGAGTCCTGATCTCTAGCTTCTTCCACCCCAAAATCTGCTAAACTCGTCGATGGATCGACGATGTCCCATCGAGAGCCTGACACTCGCCACCCCCTCCTCCGATTTGTTATTCAGATCCGTCGACGTTATTTGTCGCCGCGTGTTAACAGGATGATTGTATATATCGTATGAGTATCACACTGATTTAAATCCGCATGAGTAATTGTGTGATATTTAGCACTGATGAGAAAATTAAAGATGAAAATAAATGAAGAATTACTTCTCTTATCATTTCTGTTGCATCAAAAATGTGCAATAATTTTCGATTAAATATATATTCTTAAAGCATTTTAGATTTAACAAACACTACAGCTGTAAATGTCAGTATAGTTGTATCAAAGTATTTATCTTATATTCACATTATTATGTATTAACGTCTACTTAAATATTCAGTTTCCACATCGTTGCCCGTAAAGTCGATTATTCAATCCTGAGTTAAGAAAACACGTAATGTGCAATTGACATCCCTTCTTTTTGCTTTTCACCACGTAGCGGCGAAGTCGGACAGGCCGGAGAATTCGAAAATCGTGACGCCGAGAGCGCGCCTCGCACGGGCAGGCGCCGTGTAGACGGCGGATGCCGGTTTTTGTTTGCTTGTTTGTTGTTTGTTCCGGGCGTTTCGTTGCCGGTTAGGTACTTGACTCTCCTCTCGCGCTCCCGCATTTTCCCTCAACC